ATCCCATCAAAATCTAAGCTTGTGGTTCATGTTTTAAAGGATTTTGTCCCATTTTAATATCTCATCCACAGGACCACATCCCGTCATCCCCTGCTACCATAGTCCCTAGATGTATTTTATTTATTTATCTTTGAATAATGCACCTCATGAGGTTCTAATTTCTAAGATGTACCTATTTAGGTCAAAGTCCAAGTTTGTCTTCTCCTCTAATCCTAGAAGGGAGACATAAACAGTAGCCTAAACATTAATTTCAACAAATCCTCCGCCAACTCCGGTGGCAGCCTATGGCATTTAAATTCTTATTTTGAGTCTGATTATTAACCTTAATTCTTTATCTCTTAATTCTCTATCTCTTAAATATAATTGTAATTTAATTACTTTATTTAAAAAATTTCAACAAATCCTCAAAAGCTTTAATTTTGAGTTTATTGTTGAAAATATGCTTAGCTAAATTGATTTTTTTTTTTTTTGTTATTGCTGGTTCCCTATATTTAGACTGTCACAAAAGTTTTTGAATAAATTTACATACTTTAAAACTAATTTCCCTAATTGATCATTAAAGTGTATTTTTTATATTAACTTATTACATTTAAAAAAAATAATTTAATAATAATAATTCTTTTAATAGAATAAGAGATTTTAAGTTTAATATAATTGATATATAGATGAAATAATTTAAAGAAATGAAAAAAAGAATGTCTCCCATTACGCCGAAAAAAAAAAAAAGGAAGAGCAAAATTAAAGTTTTGTAGGCGGTGCCCAAGAGTCAATCTTGTACCAAGGCGAAGACAACGGATTGGGACTAGGGAGTTTCATGCCGACTAAACTTTTATGGAAAATTTAGTATGTACGGTTTTAGCTTTTTTGGTAAAAGCCACTTTGATTCTTTAACTTTTATTTTACCATTTCCATCTTTTATATTTTATTATTTTAGTTCTTTTTGGATTTTATTATATTTTAAATTATTAATTTGTATTTGTTGACTCACTATCTAAAGTTAAAAATCTTTTATTTATGGACTATTTAGTATAACAATTTAAAACTAATGGTAAGTGATTTTGTCTAATCTAACAGTTAATAATTATTATTGTTAATAATTGACACACTCTTATTTATTAAATTAGATTAAATCACTAACCTCTACTTTAAAACTGCTATGCCATGCAGTTTCTTAAACTTGTTTATCTATATTTGAAACTAAAAATCTTTAATTTAGATTTAATTAATTTGTATTTTAAGTTGTATTGTATCCAACATTTCAAGTTAAGTTACTTACATAATTCATATTTGTACAAATTAATGACAAAAATATAAAAGGTTTATGGTGTTTAGAATCTTACAATCCAAGTTATGATCTCACAATTTATAATCATATATCTCCTTCCAATATGAAAAGAGAATAATAGTAGTTTACAACTTAGACTAAAAATTTTCAGTCTAATATATTATTTTGTGACTTTAGATTTGCTCTTGTACATGAAATTTTAGCTATGCCAATATCTTGAGTTACAAGACCACACTTGTTTCTAAAGAGATCAAACCTCAAAGGTATTGGTACCATAAGAAGATAATATTTCTTTTTGTCTAATACTTCCTATCTTGTAAGACTAGGCAAAGAAGAAACTCCTATAGTATAAAAAAATCTAGTAGTGATGCATAATCTATCTTATGCAAATTGCGATAACTAATAATAACAAGCAAGTCCAAAGTCTCGATCCTTCTCCATTAATGATTATAAACATGTGAAGAACAAAATTGCAAACTCAAAAAAAAAAAAAAAAATTGATTCATTTGGATCACAAACAAGGAAAAATCATTTAAAGATATGAATTTTGTTATTTTTGGTATTATAGAATTCAAAGTTTTCTTATTTTTAAATCATGAAATAAATTTTCAATTTTTCTAAATAAAAATACAAACTTTACATTTTCTCCATTTAAAGAGTTATTGGATAGTGATAATGACATGGCAAACAATAATTTTAATCAAAATATGGTGAAATTATATTCTTAAATAGAAAAAATAATAAGGTTTATATCCTTAAATAGAAAGAGTAAAAGTTTACTATTTAATTTAAAAATCTAAAAAGCTTATGTCGTTAATAAAAAATAATAAAGTTTATATTTTTATATGAAACTTTTCTCCTCAACATCTCTCTCTACTTTCCACTGCAATCATTTGCAAAAAGCAGGACCTTCAAATTCACTCATCAAATAGAAGAATAAGGGTAAATTTATTTCTTAAAAAAATATAAAGATAAATTATTTTTTAAAATTATTTATCAAAATAAATTATTTATTATTTAACTTATGATGTCATCACACACCAGAAATCTATTTACCACCTAAGTGTTTTTTAATGAAAAGCTAACATATGATGATATTACATATTAAATAATGAGCCATTTATTTTGATAGATAATTTATAGAGATAATTTGTTTTTACATTTTTTAAGGGGTGAATTTATTCATACCATCCAATTTGAGGGGCAAATTTGGGGTTTTG